ATGTATTCATGTGAATCTTCACATTTCACGGAACTAAGAACTCTAAGAAGTCTCTTAAAATAGAATTGCACTTTGGAAAAAGGAATTTATCGGTGGCTTTAGGAAAATTGATAGAATTCTGCACTATATATCATGAAACTCTTATTCTCTAGTCCCTTCTCTATATTTATGAAATATTCATGAATTACTTCCAGTATGTGCAAACCATCAATGGCACTCAGGATTTGCAGGCATACATAACCATGTAAATGGCGTATTTTATTTCCTTTTTCCTCTGACAAGCTATTACGAACATTCCTTTCTGTCCTCTAGATTCTTATTAAGGAAGTTAGTGTCACTTTAAAGTTAGTTTAGAAAATAAAAATGAAAAAGAAATATCATGGAGCTAACTAATGGTGATATGCTGAAAATTATATGATTGATGAAGTATGTTAACTCTCCTGTTTACAGTCTTTTAAAAGACTACTAATAATTAACTGAAATACAAACAGTACTGACAAGCCAAGATAATAAATTGCAATTAGATTAATCACACTATTTCTTACCTAAAATCTGAGAAGGGATATATTTATTCACCTCCTTAATATTTAGATTGAACAGAAGATTGTAGTGTTGTTATATTTCATTTCTACTTATTTGGTTGTAAATTTATCATATCTTGTTTTTTATATTAATACATGCTATTTTTATATGGTTTCAGCATATATATGTATATGTATATATGTATTTTGTATTTTGGTGTAACAATAATATACAATATCCCTGTTATAATGGAATATGGCTTAAGGTGGTGTACATCATACCACTTATTATAAATACTGGCACTTCTATTACATGAAACACTTTGTGATAAGACATGCTGAAGGCACTTGATCATTATAAGAGTATTAATTAGCAAAAAGCTCTGGGTCTGCTTGAGAAAAAAAATGGAGTACCTGAGGAAGAAACTAGGATTATTTCAGTTTTGACTTTTTTTAATGTATTCATTATGTAAATATTTTCCAACATCACCGAATCTGGTTAACATGAAATAAAAAATAAAGAACCATTAACAATATATTTACTTTGCTTAAAATGACTTTTTTTTTACAGACTAGTAATGAGCATCACAAATGTAGCCATATAATGAATGTAGGTAAAAACAAAAGTATATATTCTACAATTTAAATTATGCTTTAAGGAAACAACAATAACAACAAAAACCCTCACACACACACACAAAACTATGCTTCTAAAAACATAATCTTTGTGAACTATAAAATGTCATCCCTCTTATATCCTCATTTTGTTCCCCCTGCCCGCTTTATTTTCATATTGGTGTATACAATTCTTTTCACTAGTAGATGAGCCTGTGTTGATTTATTTGAGTGCATGTATATTGAGACCATCTGGAAAAAAGCTACTGATACTTGGAACAGTCTTAAAAAAAAAAAAAAAACAAAAGCTGTGACTTTTTTTCTTTCTGCAATTTCCAACTTTGAAATAGTAGTATCTTTGAAAGTTTCTGCAAGTAATTAATATTTTGACAGTAGTGTGTATGAAATTAAGGCTGCTTCCTGTTTTGTCCCTTTGTCATATGGAAAATGTCCACATAAATAATAAATTTTCCTGGTTGGGCATCAGGGTTATTGTTAGACTTGGGAACTGGTATTTTTCCCACCTCACTAAAACATTCACATAATTAAAAAGTATCTTTAATACAACTCACCAAAGGTATGTTGGAATTTCATTAAAGACAGTTACTAAGAATGGTTAGGAGTTTAAGACTAAATCAAAGAAAGAGGCACATGGGTACTACTTAAAAAAATATTTTCATGGCAACAGAAAAAAAAAACTCCCTTAATTCATCTTTATTTACTGAAAGGTTGGCAGAGATAACTTCTGTGTTGAAGGTTTAAATAGTTATCACAGCATTTCATATATTTAAACTTGTATTGAAAAGCTTTTCTTGTCTCCCAAAGAAAAATAGTCACATATTACTTACATACTAATTACAGGCTTTGCAGCTGCCCTACAAAGCTTTACTATAAATGTGTTAAGCATGATCCACTACACAACCTTATTCAAATTGCATTAAATGTTACGCCAAAGAAATGTCATCCTTCATACCACTCTACACAATTACTTACACAAGAACAACGGCCAACTCCCTCGTCTGAAACCTAAATAATGTAATAGAATCAATGTTGTTAATTTAGGCTATGGTTGGTTAAAAGTCAATACTGTTATTCTTCACCAAGTAAAGCGGTCTCTTTTCCCCTCATTATGCATAAATGAAGCTAATGCTAATGGATCCAAATCTAAGAATGAATAAGCTTCTTTGAAATATCATTTCAAGATTGAGAATTCAAGAATAAATATATGCCTTCTATCGTGATAAAAATACTGACCTCAATTTCTGTATTTCACTGATCCTTGCTTTAAGCCTTTCTAACATATAATTTAAAGCTTACACAGCATCTACATTTGTTTAATACTTTAAAAATATTTAGCTGGTCTCACAAAGCACTATAATACTAGCATACCAGTAACAGAAGAATCAAGAGGCATGAACATATGAAAATGTCTTAAAGGAAGTTTAGTAGAGGGAAACTTTCTCAAACTTTCAACTTTATCTTTAGAGGCCTATATATCACATGTTCTAGATGTGTAGCTTTTGTTGTTTGATTTGTGTGTATTATTTGAACTTTATAGCAAGTGATCTTGGCAAGACTGGAGAATATTGTAGCAACTAAAGTTGTCAGGTTTATGACCTGACACCTAGAGCAATCTGGGAACGAATCAAACTGGGCTTAAGTTTTAGTTTACCTTAACTCAAAGACATAGACCCATTAAAATGCAATGCACTCTCACAACTTTTTATTTTTGTAACTTTTGTCAACTGGATATTGTTTAAGAATTAAAAATGGCAGGATAGGGCTAGCAGAATGGATTAGTTGGTTAAGAGAGCACGCTATTAGCAACAAGGTTGCCGGTTAGACTCCCACATAGGATGGTGGGCTGTGCCCACCTGCAAATAAGATTGAATACGGCACCTTGAGCTGAGCGGCCACGAGCTGTTGATGGGTGGCCAGATGGCGACTGGACTTGGAGCTGAGCTAGCTGCGGCCTTCACAACTAAGACTGAAGAAACACAACTTGGCTGTTCCCCTTCCCCAATTCCCCAATAAAATCTAAAAAACAATAAGGATTATCAGGTATGTTATGTGAATATCATATAATCCTTGATATCATGTGATGAAAAGGGTATTCTCTGTGGCTTTCTATATAATATCCCACAAACCCTGGTTTAATCATGACGAAATGAACCAAGTTTGGGTAATTTTCTATAGGATACCTGGCTAGTACCCCTAAAGATAGTCAAGGTCAACAAAACAAGGAAAGACTGAGAACTTGTCACAGGTCAGAGGAGGCTGGGAAAACATAACAACTAAATGCAATACATTTAATATCCATCTAAATAAATACCCTGGATTGGCTCCTAGAGCAGAAGAAAGACATTAATGGGAAAACTGGTGAAATCAAAATAATGTAAAAACTTTAGTTACTATATATCAGTATTTGTTCATTAGGAGTGAAAAGTTTCATAGTAATGAAAAATGTTAACAATAGGGAAATTAGGTATAGAGCATATGGGAATTCATTATACCATCTTTGTAACTTTTCTACGAATCCAAAGTTATTCCAAAATGAAAGGTTTTTCTTTCTTTCTTTTCTTTTTCTTTCTTTCTTTCTTGTTTTGGACAAGAATATTTACTTCTAGTGAATGAAAAGTAACCTGTGTATACACTAGGCTACATTTTATTATATAATTAATCTCTTAATCCTAAATCTTACATCAGCATTTTAAAATTATACATGAAGTGCTCTCAAATTACAGGAAAAATATTGATTATACATAGAGGATGCTTTTTAATCTATTTCTCCACTGAGAAGGTTTGAGCAGCCTTGAAGCATTCACGTAAGAAAGTATAATATCATAGAACTAGGAATACATAAATTGAGATTTTGAAATGGACATATATATATAAATTCAGGAAAATAGTGATAGCAGTGCCAGTGAAAGTACATAAAAGGCATTTGACTTCAGTGAAAGTATATTTAATTTCAGTCAGTTGAATGAAACCAAATTTCTTTTTTAGGAAAAAATTAGAAAAAAATAGGAAATGAAATTTTATGATTGTGGTAGATGTGATGGCTGTGGTTTCAGCAGGTCGGGACTAGAAGGAAGGCAAAATGAATATTAAAGCTAGACTTGTTCATTACATAGAAAAAAAAACACTTGAACAATTTATTTGATCGTAAAGTATAAGGCTTTGGAAAAATTTAGAAAACAAACATTTAAATTTATTTTTATAAAAGATGACAAGCATTTTTGGACTTCCCCCAAAGATCTGAGAGATTGGGTTTTGAGATTGGATGGTGAGAATAAGATAAAGAGATGGAGGATAAATTTCCATGAAGATTTGGAAGTGAGAAAGTAACATAGACGGTCCCTAAGTAGAAAACTCCTGATGTGGATAATGCTATCAATTACTTGCTGCCTTTTAAGTATTGTGTTGAAAAAGATCTCTATTTTACTCCAGACCTTAACGTCAGCTACATTCAGCAGCCTTTTGTTAGTGATGCTCTGGGCAGTAAAGGAAGGCAGACAGTATCCAGTGTGGGCTTCAGCATCATGGCAACAGAGCAGTAGTTGAAGGAGGCAATTGAAATGGGTAGCGCTAGAATGGCAAACCTCCAAGGGACCATGAAAAAGAAACCATCTCAGGAATCCTCAATATTTGGGGGTAATAGATGGAGTGGAGGATCAGGCACTCATGGGTAAATGGGGGCCTTCAGTATAGAAATCAGCAGATGTGGCTTGCATATATAAAGATCATATATGTAAAAACAATACACCAAGATGTTACATGTGTTTGGTGGTTCAATTCGGGATGTTTTCTTTTCTAATTATTTGATGGTTATCTAACAATTTTCCATTCATACGATGTTCTTACCTTCCTCTTGGCAAGTCTGCATCATCTTTTTTCCACCGCACAGTTGGTTGAGGATCTCCCTGGACCTGACAACGAAATTCTACAGCTTCTTCCTCCAGCACCACCTGGTTAATTGGCCTCCTGAGAAATGTGGGGCGTTCTTAGGAAAAAAAAAAAAAATGAAATGAATTTGTGCATGTTTTCCGTACATTGTGGAAAAAGCATACAAAACATGTGCTTTATTTTTGATATCTAGTTACTTAACTCTGTATGTCAACTATGTCTTGATAGGGCCTTCTAAATCCAACGTAATTGAATGAATAAAATAAAATATTTTGGAACACAGAAATAGCTATGGTTTGTAAATACAAGAAGAGAGCTGTTTGGAAAAATATTAAATTGATTCTTCAGTGATTTCCTGAGCTAAATCATATAGATCCTATCATAAATAAAATATGAACACCGAATTCCACAGAAATAATAAGGAAATAGTTAAAAATGTTTATTACAATGGCTCAGAGTGGAAAAACTAAAAGTTGAAACTGATGGAAAATATGAAAAAAGAAACAAATATTAATATTCATCAAGAATGCTAGAGAACACAAACAAACAAACAAAAATTGTGCTCTTACATGTAAGTGTTATCAAAATTTCTCCACTTAAGCTAACATTTGACAAGGACCCAATACTTCCATGAATGTTTTCACTTCATATATGAAAAGCTATCTATATGATTTTTATTTTTCTTAATTAAAAAATCTGTCAATCTTATGTTTTTCTTAAGTAAAAAGCATTGTCATTAATTACTGTAAACTATTGCCATACATAATTTTCTAAGTCCAATTTCAATTATCTTCTCCTAAGTGTCCCAGCTATTTGCCCATTTTTTTCTTTACTTAATTTTTTATATTTACTTATTTCTCTAACATTTTAATTTAAAGTTTCTGCCCTTCATTCCCTTGTTGTAAATCTGTACTTAGCACCATTTATCTTCATTCTCGCACCTCTCTATATAAAGCTAGAGAAAAAGAATGAGTGCTCATAGAATCTTACCATGTAAGAGAAATATATAACAAAAAGTCATTGTATATATCTCTAAACACTTCAATTCCTTGTCTAGTTTCTTGCTTTCTGATAATTGTCTGTTAAAAAAGTGACCATTTAAAATTTTATTAGCATGTTTCCAAATCATAGGCAAGTCAAAAATATTGTTGCTATTGAAGGAGGAAGAGAAATCAGGGAAAAGAAAAATGAAATCCATAGGGAGTTGACACAATTTATCTGGCCATATGGCCATATTTAGACATTTAGGACTTCAGTTTCAAACCCAATTTTAAAATGTGAATACAGTGGCACAAAAACTGAAAGATTTTAGCAAGAAATCTTGAAAGAAAAGAAATCATTTCAAATAACGTATGTTGAGTGTAGAATGGAAGTATGTATATGATTGTATTGGCTAAAGATCCATATTTATAAAACAAATGTGTAAGTTACCAGAGCCATGTTTTATTGCAGTCAAGTTAACCATCATCAGTATTCAGAACGAAGACAACTGCATCTCTCCAAAGTGAAGTTAACAATAGGCGTTCAATTTTTCTTTAACACACAGACCTACATATGTTCAAGTATCTGTACTTTGGGACTCCAAAATCCCAACCCATAAAAGCAGGCAAATAGGAAATTATCATGAAACATTTGTTTGTTTGTTCGTTTGTTTGTTTGTTTGTTTGTTTGTTTTAAATGTAGAATTTAGAAACAGCCCATAAAAACTTGGGAAATAAAGAATGCTTCTAAAGGTTTTAGGTAGTAGAATCAATTATCAACTAAGTGTGCCCCATTCACACCAAAACAAATATGCATGTTGGATGGAAGGATTTAGTGGTTTCCTTTCGAACTATGGACACTGTGTGCTCCAAACAACTATTTTCATGCTGGCATAGTTGATATTTAGCTATTTTTTCTGGCAGTAAATAGGCAATAGGGTCGATATCTCCTTATGAGTACTTAGAATGTTAATAGTAAAAAATGAATCATTAGCATAGAATGCAAGATTGACTTTTCTTTGCTATCACTGGGGGCGGTTCATCCAATTCATCTCAAAGCTGCAATAATCCACTGTTAAAACAGAGCTAAGCCACTGTTGATATCACATGAGACTGAGAAATGATCTGTCAGGAGACCCTTTCTGGCCAATCTGATTTTAATGGGGATATTATACCACAACCTGGCATATGGATGAGTGATCTGAGAGAAGTCTTTCCCTCATCCAGTCATTCATTCAGCACATGTTAATACAACTCCTGTGCCAGGCTTCAAGCTTGGTAATGTGAACAGCTGGCAGCTTGGTCTCCTCAGAAAAGTGGTGGGAGATGAAGCTAGTCAAGGCCATGAAGGGCTTTGCATGCCATGTCATGAAATGTGAGTTCTGCCCCGAAGGTGAGAGAGAAATTTGGAAAGATTTTTAAATAAGGAAGCAACATTTTAAATAAGCAGATGAAAAACATCATATTGGCAGATCTGTGAAAGACAAATTAGAATAGAAACCTAAAGCAGCGAATTAGGTCAAACAGTTATTGTAAGAAATTATTTCAGCTTAGACAGACATAGTGGTTCTGGGGATATGGAAAACAGGGCAGAATAAAGAGATATAAGAACTGAGTGATCAATCAGAGATGGATGCTGAAGAAGAAAAATCTAGAAAGATTCTGAAGTTTCCATTTAGCAATTTGAAACAAATAGGTGGGTAAAGTATAGATATGGAATGTGTGTGCTTGTGTGCTTGTGTGTGTGTGTGTGTGTGTGTGTGTGTGTGTAGATCCTTTCATTACAACATGGTAGATTTGAGGAAAATGAACCCCTTATGATTAAACCATTGTTACTCAGGTTTCTGTTACTTGAAGTCAAATAAATGTTTAATTAATATAATAGAAGGAAAAAGAAAAATAAGTTTGATTATTTTTGTAGATATAGAAAATGTCTTGGATTACAAAAATCTAAATTAAGAGGGAATCAAAATAAACTTTTTAAGCATGATGAAGATATTTTATCAGATATTAAATGTACTAATTATTTTTAAAAATAGTATACTGAAGTCATGCCTATTAAAACCAGGAACAGTATGGACATGACAACATTAGTAATCAATAAGAAAAAGATGGAAAGTGTGAGTATCGGAGAAGAACCAAAATAATCATTGCTTGTAGACACAACAAAACAAACAATACAGCACAATAACTCTGATATGAAACAAAAAATAGGAACTACACACGATCATTATAGTAATGCTGGCAGTCTTAGAAAATGGGAGATTATAGGATAAATTGTGGCAAATTCATATACTGAAACACCAGTAAGTCAGTGTAATGTTAAAGCTATCAATCTATCTGTCTATCTACCATGGAAAATTTTCATGGCATGATGCTGACTATAAATTGCAAAACAGTATGTGAGATTAGTTAAAACACAGGTGAATATTTTCAGGCACAATTTTTGTATGCTTCCTTTAACATGCTACCTGTCATAAAATTCCAACATATGCGTATAATTCATTTGAGCAAATTTCACATTAGACTTGTCACAAAACTAAAGTTGTCTCTTCAACTAGGGGACACCATCAGGATCCTTGAGGGAATTTTAGCTATCATACGTGTTCTAAGCCCCACTGTGTTATATGGAGACATGTGGAAGCACCTAATTTATAATTTCAAGAAGAAGCAAGGTATAGGATCCCCTGCTGCTGTTCTGATGAACTCAGCAGGAGTGGAGAACTTCACAATGAACCTTCTCTACTCCCTTCTGCCCTCAAGCAGAGTCTAGTTGCCTAGCAACTGGATAACCACAGGAGAGTATGTGGTATAGAATTTTTGGAAGTCAAATGTAGGCTCATGGTGGAAAATGTAATTCAATCGATAAACAAGCAAAAAATGAACAATGCAACAAATAATCCAGATGAAAGCCATCTGCATAAAAGTGGCACATCAAGATGGGTTTTATACCTGAGTATCTCAGAATGAGCCTTCCAACATAATAACATCAAAATTTACCAATATATTGAAGTTTGGTAACAAGTTTTAAAGTCTTATTCTGGGCATTTCCATAGCAGTCATTACAGCAATTATCTCTAAATGTTATTATTCAGTATTTTAATCGTTTTCTGCTAATTATACTAAACTCACCATCTAGTTTGTAATTTGTTTTTTTTTAAAGATTTTATTGGGGGAATTGGGGGAGTGAACAGCATTGGGGAATCGGGTAAGGGGAACAGACAAGTTGCTGTCCTTTTGTTCTTCAGTCTAGTTGTGGAGGACGTTGCTTCACTGGCCCATGTTGGTATTGTGATCATTGCGCTCTTCCCGGGTGAGACAGATCAGTAGCCAGCCTTTGGACGGCTGCTCATGGAGGCTCATGGCAGCTCACAATGCCACCAGCTGCTCACACTGGCTGCCGGCCATTCATGGCAGTTTACAGCAGCACACTGCAGCAGGGGCTGCAGCCTATGCCATCGCCGGCGACTCACGGCAGCCCAGCTCCAGGTGGAGCTGTTGTTCACCATCTTAGCTGTAGAGGGCAGCACCCCTGGCATGCATGTGGGATCCAAACCAGGCTCAACTCTCAGAGCTGGTGTCCCAAGCCAACTCTTAACCAACAAGCCACTTGGCCGGCCCTACTTTGCAATTTTAACTGCCTACAAGAAACTATGTGCTAAAAAACTGTAGGTTTGCCTGTGGTTTACTTAAATAGAAATAATTTTTTTTTTTGGTAAAAACTGTTTTCCAAAAATCTGAGAATAAGAAACATAACTATTAAAGATTAAAGAAGTTGTACAGACATAAATGTATTTTAAATGCACTGCTTTTGCAGGGTCTGCTATTAGCATCAGCCAAACACAAAGCCACGACTCTTTCAGGCACAAATTATAAAAATTACATGGGAATGTCTTGGGGTTTACTGCTTTGTGTCAAAATCATGTGCAAAGAAATGTAGCTAAAAGGATTAGAAAGTTAAGTTGAGAAGAGAACCATCCAGTAAATTTATAAGTGATCACATTTGATACCTATTAATGCCCCATGGAGTTTGTATGCCAGGAAGCTCGGCACAATTAAAATAAAAAATATATGAAACAGGGCCGGCCTAGTGGCGCAATGGTTAAGAACTGGCTTG